CCCCGGCTGGAGTGCAGTAGCGCGATCTCGGCTCACTGCAATCTCCGCTGCCCAGGTTCGAGCAATTCTCCTGTCTCAGCCTCCTGAGTAGCTGGGGTTACAGGCGCCCACCACCACGTCTGGCTAATTTTTGTATTTTTAGTAGAGAGACGGGGTTTCACCATGTTAGCCAGGCTGGGCTCAAACTCCTGACCTCAGGTGATCCATCCTCCTGCCTCAGCCTCCTAAAGTGCAGGGATTACAGGCATGAGCCACCACACTCGGTTCATCTGATTCTTAAATAATGGTATTTTTAAAAATTACATTATATGGAAAAAGAAAAAAGAAAAAGGAAGGAAGGAAGGAAGGAAGGAAGGAAGGAAGGAAGGAAGGAAGGAAGGAAGGAAGTAAGTAAGTCACCCGAATGGAGCTAGGGCCGTTGTGCTGACATTCATTGAATCCCTGCTGTTTTCCATGCTCATTCCATCCGGGCCTTTCTGTCTTCTGTTTGGACCCCCTGATCCATCCCATGGGAGAGCTCAGAGGAGGAGCTGAGCCCATCACTACCGGACACACAGCCACCCCCTGAGCACACACGGCCACTGCTCTGTCCTAAAGTGACATCCAAAACCTCCAAGTCACACTGGGCTCAGAGCCCTCTTCTTCCTTTCTGTTGCATTTCTGTGGGTGGCTACCCCATCTCACTTGAACCATCAAGCAGACACTGGCAACGCCTGAACACGTCTCAGACCCAACCCCTCTCCCTGGGGGTCTAGATCCATATTCCCTGCACGTAGTCACGGTCACCAAATTTAGACAGTTAAACTCTTTATGTTTTTTGGATACTTGCAGATTTCACACAACTGGTGAAAGTAAAATGTAGCTGTCAGGATTATTAAACAGGAAGGGAGATTACACTGTGGCAGTGTACAAAATATTGCCTTCCTGGGATTCTCCTGTGACATGTTCTCTATTGATAGGCAGAGGAAGCATTTGTCCTAGTTCTGGCCCATTAGGAAATTGACAGTGGTCTGTCCTATACCAAATTAAACTGTCTGTCCTGAAACACGGACCTCTCCTTTCCAGCATGATGTCCCAGGCACACAATTAGTCTTTTGGTTTCAGAAGCCTTCAGGAATAGTGGTTGGGTTTTTTTTTCCTTCTTTTAGATGGTTACACAAAGGATGAGGTTATTTATATCTGTGAACACACTGCCGATTAAGCTAAGCATCTTGTCTAGTTTGTTAAGTAAGGCTGGGCGCACCCGGCCACACTCCCCTGACCCTCGGGGCTGTGCCAGGAGAATTCCAGGGCTCCGGGAGGATGGTATCTGCTACTAGGAGCGCCTTCCTCCGGAGGGAAGAGAACTGTGCCTCTCGAGTTCTGTTGCTGTCGCTCAAAGGGAAAGTGAGATGCCGGCAGGAACCTAGCGGACACTCTGACTCTTCCGATCGCCTTATTTCTTGGCTGCCAGTTCGCTGGCGGTCAGTAATGAGGCAAACCTTGGACTCACAGAGCTGGAGGGAACAGCAGGATCCCCGCTCCAGCCCTGCCTTTCACAGACGAGAAGTCAGAGTCCTAGCAGGCAGCCAAGGGTTGGACTTTTCCAAGGCCACGCGGCTACTAAGGGGAGACTGACTCCGGAAAGCTTGGTGTTCAGATGCACACGTATTGGGTTTTCAGATGTTGCAGACCCTTGTAAATTAACTGCAGGACATGGATTGTGTCGATGGAGACTTGACCTCTGGCTCCCGGAATGTGACAACCACAAAAACCTCAGGATATATCCTTTCCATTTACAGATGTCGAGGCACCCGCATATGCGTTACTTAAGATATCTCTGCCTCAACATCTGTGTGTGTAAAATGGGGATAGTGAGAAGTCTGGTCTGTGTGTTCACACAGTTGTTATGAACATCGTATGAAATGACAGATGGAAGTGGTGTTGAAAATGACAGGTGCTGGACAGGATGAGGGGATTCCGGCAATGATGATGGCGATGAGGATGGCGGCAGTGGTGGTGGTGGTGAAGTCCTGTCAAAGCTTTAACTGTCTGGAAGCTGAGTGACTAGAACACCAGGGAAAACACCTCAGAGGGGACATCAAGCTGGAGCTGCTGCAGCCTCGTTTTCCTAACATGAGGGGCATAACCACAGCTGTGGGGACGGAACAACTTTTCTAAATTCCAACCTGCCAGCATACGGACCTCACCAGATGTTGTGCCCTGCACGGGGGAGACCAGGCAGTGGCTCTGGCCCTGCTGCGAACAAGCCCTGTGTGCAGGGACCATTCCGCCTCGATTTTCAGAAGAGCAGAGGGCTGCTTGGACCACGAGATTGGAGAGGGTGACTGCGCCAGGGTGGGTCCTTTGGGGCCGCAGAGAGCTGGAGCTGTGCACTGGGGCGCTGGCTTCCTTGTTGGTCTGTGGTCTCCAATGGGGGCCTGGGAGCAGCAGCATGGGTTCCATGGGTTCCCGCAGCTTGGCTGACCCTTCTTGGGCTGCTCAGAGACTCTGGTCAGGATTTGCATTTGACACCCAGCTGTGCCTCCTGGGGAAACCGTGTGGGGGTGGCAAAGGCGACAGTGGCATCCATGGCCATGACCGCCCAGAGGGCCTTATCATCATCTCCAAACCTCGCAACTCAAAGGCCAGGGAGCTCAAGATGCCTGAGAACCCGTCACCTGCCCCAGATCACTCAATGGCAAGCGACAGAAGCCAGGCTGAGCCTGCACAGTTCCAGCTTCACAGCTCTGTACCGAGATGCCCAGTGGGCCACCCCTCCCTGGGCAAGGGCTTCACCTCCGTCATGGGCCTGGTCCTCAAGCCAAGGATGGGGGTTTTGGATGTTTCTCTTCTCTTTGAAACCCCCGTTGTTATATCTAGGACCAGTGACACCCACACTCCAATCAGCCCTCACTCCAAAGTCTGAACTTTGCCTCCAGGGCAGAGTAGGGCAAGGGTGGTGTTCTGAGGAGCTGCCAGGGGCTTCACCTGGGACCTGCCTCCCTCCCTACGTTCAGGTTCAGCCAGGCAGGGCTGAGACGGGCAGCCTCCAAGATGAAGGCGGCTGGGCGACACGGAGGCTGGGCGGGGGCTATGGGCAGGTGACTGACTTTTCTGGTTGTGGTCTTCCTCTGTAAAGCGGGATCATGGTCTCCCCTCACTGGGTGACTGTAGGGACGCAGAGCTGACCTATGTGACCATCTGAGAGACAGAGGAAGCTCAGCCAGCCTGGAGACGACCGTCTCGTCCCCTCCACCCTCTTAGGCATTGGTGCAGGCTCCAGAGCCCTTGGACACGGAGTGACTCACTCTAAGAGCCCCACTCCACAGCCTGGAGTGTGAGCTCAGCAACAAGGGACCAAACTCTGGGCCGATGAGAAGCACAAGGCAGGTGTCCCAGGTGGCCCTGCCCGGGCAGGGCCTGCAAACCTGACAGGCCGCAGGAGGGCCCAGGCAGGACACATGGTGAGGGTGCGGGACTCCTGGGGTGGCTTCCAAGCCCTAGGATGCCCATCTGTGTGACTGTGGCAGTTTCCTCGTCTGTAAAGAGTGGGTGAGTCTGTAACCGCAGTCGTGAGGACCCTGGAGGACCCACAGGACACCGCTGCTATTGTCAGTGCAACCCTCTCCCACGCTGAGCCCACAGGTCCAGTAAATAACTGAGTGGATGGATTCTTGTCTTGTCCCAGGCATGCCCTCCCGTCTCCCCATCAGCCATCACTAAGGAAGCACAGCACTCGTGGTGCCATCCATCTCCCTGCTGCTTTCGAGAACGCAAGGGGACGCAATGTCCCTCCAGCTCTGGACACCTGAGGCCAGCCCAGCCCTCCTCCACATGGTCCCCTCCCCATTGCCAGCCTTGGGAGGGGCTAGGACTCCAGCCCACACGTCTAGCCCACCCCCCTGCTTCGCCAATCCCTGGGTCCTGGGGTGTTCAAACCAGCCCAGGAAGTTTGAACTTCCTGAAGATCAGACTCCAGGAAGGGGCTGGGGGTGGACCCTTGGAGGTGGCTCCAGGATCCAGGAGTTCTGGGATTCCCAGCATGGGGAGTGTCAAAAAGAAAGGGGGCCGGTGCTCTCAGGGGTGCGCCTGCTTGGCCCACACAGACTCCCCACTATCTGGACAGGAGCTGGCTGGAGGCGGCCGGGGCACCATTCCTTGGGGGGGCGGTCCTCCTGCTGTCTTAGTACCTGTCAACGATGCAGGCTGTGGCCTCGTGGCTGATGGATGAGGAGTAGGTCTGCCACTCGCCCCGGGGCAGCTCTCGCACCTGCACGGTGAAGTACCGGATAGGGGAGGCCCCATCGCTGCCCGGGACCCACTGGAGCCGGAGGCTGCGTGCGGTCACTTCTGCCTGGGGTACCAGGAGGTCTCTGGGGGGTGCCGGCCGCTCTGCAACCAAATGAGGACAGACCAGGGACATGTGAGAGGCTGCCCTTCCCAAGGAGGATCCCCAGGAGATCGCTCTGTTGCCAGGCTGGAGTGCAGTGGTGTGATCTCAGCTCACTGCAATCTCTGCCTCCCGGGTTCAAGGGATTCTCCTGCCTCAGCCTCCTGAGTAGCTGGGACTACTAGCATGTGCCACCACACCCAGCTAATTTTTGTATTTTTAGTAGAGACAGGGTTTCACCATGTTGGCCAGGATGGTCTTAACCTCTTGACCTGGTGATCCGCCCGCCTTGGCCTCCCAAGGTGCTGGGATTATAGGCATGAAACACCATACCCAGCCAAGCAGCTGTCTTAAGGCTGACTTTGGATGCACTACTCGTAGAGACCAACAGACAGGAACAAAGCCACATAGGGGTCCCTAGGCTGCCAGACCACCAGGCACTGTGTCTGTGATGACTGCTGGGGTCCCAGGGTCTTGGGGGCTGCTCCAAGCCCTGTGGTGCCTTTGGTCTCTCTTTTTCTGATGTTGGGCTCAGTCCACCTTTAAAGCTGAATTCCCTCCTTCTTGCAGTCACCCAGGGCCTAAAGCATCTATGGCGTCTACTCCGTGCTGCTGTAGGTGAGGACACCTCTGGGCTGTCACTGCCTCTGGTGTCTGCAGTAGCTTGGATGGGGGACGTGGGGCGCCCGGGGCCAGGCCCAGCCTGGAGTGCCCATCGTCTGCCACTGCTGTGCCTCCGCACCCCATCGATTTCAGCAGAGAAGCCCCGCAGCGGGAGGAATAATTGTTTAATTGTTTATCATGAAGATTATTGATTTTGATTAGAATGCGTGGCATGTGTAAAGTGGCGATTGATTGTTGGCCTGCAGTGGCGGGTGTGGGAGGAGGGCTCCAGTCTCACTTCATCAGCACTTGCCTCTGTAAGCACACAAGGTGGCCCAGAGTACCCCATTTCAAAGGCTCTCTTGGACTTAGTGGTAACTAGCAAGCCTCTTGGATTCCCTCTCCCTGAGCCACGAGGATGGAGGAGGGGAGAAATCTCCGAAATCTCTGGGCCCGATTATCAGGTGGCATAGTGTGGGGTGGGACAGTGGGGCAGGACCGCGGGGCGGGACTGTGAGGCAGGACACGGGGAAATAAGGGGACCTGCTGTGAGACCGTGTCTGTGATGCACCTGCACACGTGCCTGGCTCGTGGGAGGGGCACAGTCAATGCTTAAGATAAATGAACCATAAAACCACACGAATACATTAGAGAATGAAGTCAAAATGTTTGCTTGAGAGAGCCATTACCATCTTCCTGAGAAGCCTTGAGTGCTGATACCTGGGGTGGCAGCAGGGCAATGGGGGTGCCCGTTTCACAGGGCACCTCTTCCATGTGCTTTAATTGCAGAAGCACCTCGGGTGTCTGTGGTGACTGAGTGCTTTTGTCTCTCCAGCTAATAACATTAATAATAATGATAGTGGTACTGGTGATGGAGGGGATGTGTTTTCATTGAATGCTATGGGAAGACAAAAGGCAGGGGCTCACACCTGCAACCCCAGAGCTTTGAGAGGCTGAGGTGGGAGGATCGCTTGAGCCCAGGAGCTGGAGACCAGCCTGGGCAACATAGTAAGACTCCCATCTCTACAAAAATTAAAATAATTAGCTGGATACGGTGGCTCATGCCTGTAACCCCAGCACTTTGGGTGGCCAAGATGGGTATCATGGTAAGACTCTGTCTCTTCAGAACATAATTAGCTGGGTGGTGTGTGCCTGTAGTCCCAGCTACTGGGGAGGCAGAGGTGGGAGCACGGCTTGAGCCCAGGCATTCCAGGCTGCGGTGACCTATGATCACATCACTGCACTCCAGCCTGGGCAACAGGGCAAGACCTTGTTTCAAAAAAAAAAAAAAAAATAGGAGCCTGGCCAGAGCCATGTGCTCCAAGTGTCCCTGCAGCAGTGCCTGGAAGCTCCCTCCTGTCCTCATTCCCACAAGGTCCCTGGGTCTGGCCGCGATGTCAGGACCTGGAGTGGGAGCCGGGGCTGCTGAGGTGAGGGTCCTGTGGCACCAACCCTGGGCACTGAAAGGCCCAAGGACGTGCACAGAGCCCACTGAGAAGAGCGCCCGCTATAGACTCATGGGAAGAGTTGGCCTCACGGTGTTGGGGCGGATCCAAATCTCAGCTCCGCAGTTGTGTGTCTGGGCAAATTAATAAAACTCTCTCAATTTCCTCCGTCTCGTCTTTGGTAAAAATCGGAGTTAATGACATACTGCTCCGTGGGCTGCAGGGAGGATAGGCCAAGTGCAATGCACAGAGCACCTGCCCCCGTGTGTGAAGCAGGGCCCTGCTCGCCCCAGCAGTTCTCATCAGGAAGTCAGCTATTTGGAAAACTTACTTACTGAACACCTGCTAAGCAGAGGACATGGGTTTAACATCAGAGACTGGGGGCTGCCTTCAGGGAGCTCACCCTCAAATGTGGTGACTCTGCAGCCTTGCCCCAGGTACTCAGACTCTGTGAGCAATGTTGCTCTCCTTAAACCCGAGACTGCCTCACATGTCTGAGAGAGCAGATGTGAGGCTGAAGGTGTGAATGAATGCTCACGTGTCTGAGACAGCAGGTGTGAGGCTGAAGATGTGAATGAATGCTCACGTGTCTGAGAGAGCAGGTGTGAGGTTGAAGGTGTGAATGAATGCTCACATGTCTGAGAGAGCAGGTGTGAGGCTGAAGGTGTGAATGAATGCTCACGTGTCTGAGAGAGGTGTGAGGCTGAAGGTGTGAATGAATGCTCACGTGTCTGAGAGAGCAGGTGTGAGGGAGAAGGTGTGAACGCAATGCTCACGTGTCTGAGAGAGCAGGTGTGAAGCTGAAGGTGTGAATGCAATGCTCACATGTCTGAGAGAGCAGGTGTGAGGCTGAAGGTATGAATGAATGCTCACGTGTCTGAGAGAGCAGTGTGAGGCTGAAGGTGTGAATGAATGCTCACGTGTCTGAGAGAGCAGTGTGAGGCTGAAGGTGTGAATGAATGCTCACGTGTCTGAGAGAGCAGATGTGAGGCAGAAGGTGTGAATGCAATGCTCACGTGTCTGAGAGAGCAGGTGTGAAGCTGAAGGTGTGAATGCAATGCTCACGTGTCTGAGAGAGCAGGTGTGAGGCTGAAGGTATGAATGAATGCTCACGTGTCTGAGAGAGCAGGTATGAGGCTGAAAGTGTGAATGCAATGCTCACGTGTCTGAGAGCAGATGTGAGGCAGAAGGTGTGAATGCAATGCTCACGTGTCTGAGAGAGCGGGTGTGAAGCTGAAGGTGTGAATGCAATGCTCACGTGTCTGAGAGAGCAGGTGTGAGGCTGAAGGTGTGAATGAATGCTCATGTGTCTGAGAGAGCAGGTGTGAGGTTGAACATGTGAATGCAATGCTCACATGTCTGAGAGAGCAGGTGTGAGGCTGAACGTGTGAATGCAATGCTGTTTGATAGTGTGCCCGGCTCCGTATCAGCTCAGTGGGTGCTTTGTAAATGCTCACATCCCTTCTCTTTCTACGAAGGGAAGGCCGAAGCCTCCCAGGTACCCCACAGACTCCAGAAGGCCTGACTGAGGAAGCGGTGCCCGCCACGTCTGCAGTACCCCTGGGTCCCCCAAGGTCTTACCTCTCTTCTCAGTGGTGATGACTGTGGCCTCCAGTGGCTCCCCCCAGCCCTGCCTCGTCTTGGCGGACAGCCTGAAGATGTATGCGGACTCCGGGGCCAGGTCGGTGGCTGTGAACTGCCTCACTGTGGCGCCGACCTCCACGGTGGTGAAGGTGTGGGGGCTGCTGCTGGCCAGGCGGTAGGCAATCTGGTACCCTGCAGGCAGGCGACACGGGAGACAGCTGCTGAGCCACTCACCCACAGCACAGGGAAGCCCTGTGCCCACACCCTGTGCTGACCTCTGGAGTAGAAACCCCGGCAAGGCCATCTGTCTCTTCCCCATTCCTGGAGGTCACTGCCTGTGCACTGAAGGGTGGTCTTGGGGCTGTGATGAATGGTGGGGTTCCACGTGGATTTCCCTGTGAGCTTGTTTCCTGCTCCATCCTTCACCGGAACAAGGTGTGAACATTGGTTCATCTTTCCTGAGGACGCTGGCACACGGCGAGCATGCCACAGGGACCCGGTCCCACCCTGCTCCCCATGGGGCTGCAGAGGGCTGTGCCTTTTCAGTCTCTGCCTCTCCCTCCCTCCTACAGTCTGGCTCTCCCACTCCTTCTCTGAGGAAGTCCTTTAATTCTTGCCAATGGCAGCATGACCTGCCCAGGCAGGACAGCAGCTCCACAGCTGCCATTCCTCCTTCCCTCCTTCGTCTTCCCTGTCTGCCTGCACCTCTGACCCCCAGCTCCCTCCAGGGACCCCGGCAACATCCATCCAGGGACCCCGGCAACATCCATCCAGCCCCTTCTGTGGTCCCACCCCTCCTGAGCAGCTCCACCAGGGCAGCTCTGCTTACAGAACCCCCCTGTGCTTCCTAGTTGAGGGACGGTTCCTGGCTTGCTAAGTTCCTCAACTGGGAGGGGCTTGGGGCTGAGCAGCTGTTCCTTATTAACGACCACCCCTCTCCACTGGCCACCCCAGGCCTCCCCCGCTGGCGTCTGGAGGAGCCTTGTCAACTCTGCAGCTTCAGTCTGCACCCTGCCTGGCTCAGAGACAACGTGTGGTCCGGCGGCTGAGCTCCTGTGCTGATTGAAGCCAGAAATAATGGGGCGCTGTGGCTTCCAAAAAAAATTAATAATCATTGGTGTTAAACAAGGGAGGATGCATAGGCGGAAGAGTCGCACCCTGGCCTCACCAGTGCTGCCTCTTCGTGGAGTGGCCTCTGCATTGGGGGCTCACCCTCTGTGGGGAGGAGCTGCCGAGCGACCCCACGCTGCCTGCCCCCCGCCTTCAGCCTCTGTTCCGGGTGAACCCCTCCCTCTCTCTGCTCTTCCTGCTCTCGGGTCTCTGGCTCATGGACGACCGAGCTCACAGGCATGCTGCCAGCTCCTGCGCCTTGTCACTCATCCAGAGGTTTAACGAGTCCCTCCCCAGCCCGCTATCTGGGAGGTGGGAGGACAATTACACAGAGGTCAGACTTCAAGTGCATCCTTGCATCAGGCCTCAGGCATCACCGATCACTGTCAGCATCGTCATCACCACCACACAGACAGGGACACAAGCCCTGCCCTGTCCATGACACCACCACCTCTAGGCCCAGGTGTCTGCAGGACCCTGAACTTAGGTCCCCAGAGTGGCC